TCTAACCACCGGCAAGCTGACAGTCTTAACAACCTAATTAAGATTTTTGTGAATGTTGCATAAACTAGTGGGTAAACAGACCTGACCCTGCAAGATAGTAGCTGAAAAACTATTACCATGTTAATAAAAATGATTTGTACATTTAATGCGTCAACATTAACACACAAATCTTCTGATCGTCCCACATGCCATTTGCACTGGTGCATGTCCGAACTTAACTAGGATTGTTAGGAGCAATCAACAGATTATCACACAAAGGGTAGACAAATTTCCAACATACTCTGTTATGCCTAATCATTTGCATTCGTAGGAGCAATCAATAGAACCTAATCATTTGCATTTTTTAACAACAGAAAAAAGCACCATTAGCCATGAAAACATCATCAACCAACTAAATCAAGAAGTAAAAGCTGAAGAATTCCTCACCTGATGAGGAAACTAGTTATATCAAGATTGATCAAGATGCTTATTTGTCTCAATGATAAAAAAACACACAATCTGAAGGCACCAGATGCATATTTGCTTAAAGATATTGCATTTTTGCAATTTTTGTGATGGGCCACGTGCTTGCTCCCACTGCCAGGCATGACTACAGTACACATATTCTTGGAAGCACTAAACAACATAGGCAAAATGAAAGAATCGAACTAGGGAGGTTATGTGTGGAAGCATATGTTCCAAGCTGTCAGAAAGTTCAAGGGTGGTGTTTCCAAGGAACCCAACTATGCATATTGTTGGATGGCATCTTTTTCTCTGGGGGCAGAACTGCACATTTTTTCAACCATTTGTCGCATTTTGTCATCTTGCATTCTTAGTTGAACTGAACCTAAGACAAATCTGCGGAATTTGAAGGGAATATGGATTAGAAAGAGTTGGCAAAAAAACACAGAAGATATATGTTAAAAATGTCTAACAAAAATTTCTGATGCTAGGCATAACAAAGATATTAACAACCGCCAATTCTGCACATTGGGGAAGGGCACTTGTATCTATCCATGGCACATGTGAGTTGGCAAGAAGGCAATACTACAAGATTGCAGAAATAGGAAAATGCTTCAGATTAAACACCTTCTACTTCAGGGTTGAGATCACAGACCATATCAGCATGGTGCTGATCAGGAACCACAAATGCATCATCATTGTTTTCTGCACATCTAACCCATAGATACTATCCATCAGAAACCAAGCAAAGGAGCAATTTAGGTTTTTTCTTTACATGAGAATGGTCAATGCAAAAAGGTGGGACTGTATGAATTAGCACCGCAAAGAACACAGGTTGGAAAAAATTAAGCCGATGTGGCACATAAGCATGGGTAAGGATAGCATTTTTCTCTCATGATTATCCGTCACATATATTGTCTAAAAACATCACAGTAAATTCGGATCTAGGCAGCAACAGGATGAGGAGAGACCTATCCAGTTCAAACGGAGGGGATTACAAGCAAACAAAAGGAAATCACATCTGTACAAAAGTACAAGCATCAGAAAGCACTCTATTCTAGATTATCAACACAAATGGTATACATCTGGATCGAGCCACGACTGAAGGGGAGCGTGGTCGCCGCGACCACCACCGCGGGAACTACGCACAAATGAGAAAGAGAGAGGGAGGGGGATGGCTGGGCGACGGAACAGGAACGAGAACGACAGATAAAGAGCATCACAGGTTGAGCAGAGAGGACACGAGCAAGCTGATGGGCCAAACATGTACGCGCGGGCTGTATCCCAGACCATATATGGATGCACAGGCTGACACGAGCCGACACGAGCCTGCCAACAAGCTGACAGATTCCAGATCTCAAAGCCCATTCCAACAGCCAGGATACCGGCCTACCTGATTCTCGGCCACCAAAAGCCCTCACTCACGGATCCTTCCCTTAATACTACAAATCCTGGTCGTCCACCTCTTCTTCATCCAATGCATTTCGCTTGCGGACTCTCACGTGGGCCCAGATGACTCAACCAACAAACCAAGGGTGTCTCTTCCCTTGGAGTCAATTGCAAGAAACCACCACATTTGTGGCTAGGTTAATTTGCAGGAAACTACCAAGTCGTTAATTCGTCGCAAAAAACACCGTAGAATCTCTTAATCCGTTGCAAAAAGCACTGAACAGCCGTTTAGCCTCGTTTGATCTCTTTTCCGACAGGTGGGCCCCGAAATCGCTAATGTGGCATGACACACGGGCAAACGGCGCCGTTAGGACCAAAAGGGTCAAGACGCCGTGCCGGTCCGTCTTTGTCAGACAGTCCCCCCCCCCGCTCCAATGTCCTCTCTCTTGCCCCGCTCCCCTCTCCTCTCTTGCCCCTGCTCGCCGCCGGTGATGGCCACCTCGCGTGGCGGTGATGATGGCTGTGTCGGTGGAGCTGGCGATGCATCTGGTGGCAGTGGTGCTCCTTCAGATCCAACATAGGTTTGCGGCAGTTCAAACCCATCTCAGGCTCCGCCTCTTCCACAGCCATCGTCGCCATCTTACTGTGTTGAGTACGCGGCGGCGAGGGCGTTCGCCAAGGCCGTGAAGGAAGATCCAGAGGGGAACCATCACTACGCATCCTCCTTCGGCGGTGTCTCATAAGTTTTCTCTTTCCGTACCCCGATTTGCCTTCTAGGGTTAGGTTTCTAGGGTTAGGGTTCTAAGTGTGTGTGATTCTAGGGTTAGGGTTCTAAGTGTTTGTGATTCTAGGGTTATAGGATTATTGTTGTAGGTTGTTTATGTGGTCAGACATGTAAGTGAAGTGTTTATGTAGTTCTAGGGTTCTAATTGTATGTAGTAGGCTAACATTAACTGAATTACTGAATGTTAAACTCAATTTCAACCTACTCAATTACACGAAATTACTGAATGTTAAACTCAATTTCAACCTACTCAATTACTAAATTTACTGAATTTTTGAATGAAAATGTTACTGAATTTATAACTGAATTTATAACTGAATCTTGTACTGAATTTTGGACTGAAACTATAACTGAATTTTGGACATAATCCTGTACTGAATCTACAACCAAGTGTACTTTGGACTGCAACTATAGCTGAAACTTTAACTCAATAGTTTACTCTAACTGAATTTTTAACTGAAACTATATTTTTAACTGTATGTAGTAGGCTAACATTAACTGAAGTTCCTGAAACTTTAGTTAAATCTTTAAGTGAAACATTAACTGAATTGTTTATTCTAACCGAATCTTTAACTTGTAGAGCAGGTTTGAAAAGCCAGGAAACAAAGAGACAAAGAGGAGAAAGAGCAGGTTTGAAAAGCCAGGAAACAAAGAGACAAAGAGGAGAAAGAGCAGGTTTGAAAAGCCAGCTCCAAAGGATACATCTAGGATGGCAACTATCACTTGTAGCAATTGCAATAAGACTGGGCATAGATACACTAGTTGCAAGCAGGCTCTTAAACCAGCCTTAGCTATGAGAAGGAACCAGCACCAGTTAACTACTGTTGTAGGTTTGTATATATCAGTTTCTAACATTTGTATGCTGTAATTGCAGGAAAACAGGATAGATGATACACCCAGAACTGTATCTGCTCCTGCTCCCATGCCACCAAGGAGAAGTGCTCCTTCTGCTGCTCAAACTGCAGCTCCAGCTCCACCAGCTCCAAGGGCTCCAAGGGTAGCAAGGAGAGCTCCTTCTGCTCCTACTTCAACTCCCAGTGCACCAAGGAGAGCTCCTTCTGCTCCTGCTGCAGTTGTAGCTCCTCCTGCTACAAGGGCAACAAAGAAAGCTAAAACTACAAGGACTGCAACTTCTACTGCTGGTGCTGGTCTAAGTTCTTCTACTGCTGGTGTTGGTCCAAGTTCTTCTACTGCTGCTGCTAGTCCAAGTTCCTCTACTGCTGCTGGGCCAAGAGGAAGAAACAAGTTCATCCCCCAAGAGTTGCAGGTAGGGGAAGAGTGAGGAAGCCATCCTTTAAGATGCCTGAGTGGTTCAACTGTTCTCAAGGGAGCAGTAGGTGAAGTTGTGTTAATTTGTGGTGACCTGATGATGTTGAAAACATCTGCATTTTGGTTGTGATGACACCTTTCATGTAAGGTACCTAGTGGACTTGTTAGGCTATGATGAAAACTTGTGTTGCTTCTAGTTAGCTGTTGATGTTCTAAACATCTTTATTCTGGTTGTCATGAGTACTTTCATGTAAGGTACCTAGTGGACTTGTTGGGCTGTGATGAAAACTTCTTTATTATGGTTGCTTCTGGTTAGTTGTGGCTCATAGTGGACTTATTCTGGTTAGATGTTCATGTTCAAAACATCTTTATTATGGTTGCTTCTGGTTAGTTGTGGCTCCTAGTTTTCTTATTGTTTGCTAATAAGTGTGATGAATGTGGCTAATTTGATCATCTAGGGTCCCTCGACGTCGATGGTATCCAAGATAACCTAATTTGATCATCTAGGGTGCCTCGACATCGACGGTAGCCAACATAACCTAATTTGATCATCTAGGGTGCCTCGACGTCGACGGTACCCAAGATAACCTAATTTGATCATCTAGGGTGCCTCGACGTTGATGGTATCCAACATAACCTAATTTGATCATCTAGGGTGCCTCGACGTCGACGGTATCCAACATATCCTTATTCCATCATTTAGGGTGACATAGTTAACATCATGACATAGTTAACATCATGACATAGTTAACATCATGCCACCATAGTTAACATCATACTTAACAACTCTAGTCACTAACATAGTTAACATCATGACCACCATAGTTAACATCATACTTAACAACTCTAGTCACTAACATAGTTAACATCATGACCACCATAGTTAACATCATACTTAACAACTCTAGTCACTAACATAGTTAACATCATGACAACATAGTTAACATCATATTTAACAACATAGTTAACAACATGACACCATAGTTCAAAGCTTACAAGACATAGTTCAAGGCTACAGCCTACTTCAAATACTACAAACTGCCACTGGTTCACACATTACAAGCCATAGTTCAATGCTTGAAACTTAAGATAATGACCCACATGGTCAGATTACAAATCATTCTTCATCACAAATATCCTTGATGTCCTTCAGCTTTCTCTTGTTCTTGTCACTAGCTTTCACAAGATCAGTAATGTGAAACTCCAAATTCCTCCTCTCAGTGCTCAACTTTTCCTTCTCCTTCAAATGAGCAAACTTCAGATTCCTAATCACATTACCTGGGGCAACATGAATGCTCTTCAACTGGTCAACCTTTTGATGCAGTTCTTTGTTCTCAGCATCCATTGCACCCAGCCGTTCCTTCAAAACTGACATTTTGTTGTCCAAAGTAGGAGTGATGTCCTCATGTTCACCTTGTTGGACTTCATTTTCCTTGGGAATATTGTCCTGGGTATCAAGTAGGTTGTTCACATCCTCAACAAGCTTCTCATAAGTCTCCTGTAGCTTGTTCTTCTGTGATGTGAAATTGTTGACAAGTGATGAATGTTCCAGACAAGCCATCCTATTAGCACGCTGGCAATCCTCATACATAAGCCATAGTTTGTGAAGAGCATTCTGCAGATACTCTGGCCACTCCTCATCTACCCACTGAACAACACCACAACTGCTTGCTTCCTGCAAAACAACACGTACAAATGCATTTACTTCCTTTTTTCAATTCACTTCTATTCAGTCCAATTCAAAACAACTATAGTATACTGCACATGCACAATTCAGCTCACTTCTGAATTTATATTCGAATTTTTAATAGCATAGTACACTGAATTTACTTCATTTATAGTATACCTTAATTTTTAACAGCACAATACAATGCAGTTCAATTCATTTACTTCATTTATATCTATGAACAATGCACATCACCCAGTGACTATCACTCAGTCACTCACTCACTATGGTATGGTACATGACAGTACCTTTAACTAAACTACAAGGTGAACAGTGAACATGAACAAAGAACAGTGAACATGAACAATGAACAATGCTTATGAACAATATATAATTTTCACACAAAATAAGCAAACTATAGATTTTTGCTAGCAGTCACATCAAGTCCACAGGCAATGAACCTCCTCCCAGTGCTAATCCCTTCGAAGCACACATGCCTCTTCATCGGCTGGCCATGCTCACACATCACCATCACCTCATCATAAACACCAGAGTAGTTCGGGTCCTTAATTGTAGCCGGGATCTACATCAACAAAATAAACGCACAAAATCCATCTCACGAGTTCAAATCGAGTAGGAAAAACAAAATCCCCAAATCGAAACCCTAGCTCAAAGAACAAAATGCCCAACTGACCTTGATAGGGGAGCCACCTGAAGAGTACTCGTAGCCCGATTCCTCGCTGGTATCGCTCCACGAAACCATGGCGGACGGCGGCGAGCTGGCTTCTCACCGACGGCGACCAGAGCCAGAGAGAGAGGGGAGAAAGAGGAGAGGGGCGAGAGAGAGAGAGAGAGAGAGGGTGGGGGGACTGTCTGACGAGCAACGACAGGACCGACCGGCGCGGCGTCTTGACCCTTTTGGTCCTAACGGTGCCGTTTGCCTGTCCGTCATGCCACATCAGCGATTTCGGGCCCACCTGTCGGAAAAGAGATCAAACGAGGCTAAACGGCTGTTCAGTCCTTTTTTCAATGGGTTAAGAGACTCTACGGTATTTTTTGCAACGATTAACGACTTGGTAGTTTCCTGCAAACCTAGCCACAAATGTGGTGGTTTCTTGCAATTGAATCCTTCCCTTGATTTGACCATAAGAAAAAGGCAGCCAACCAATCACAAACGAGGCCACGGATCCCTCCCCTGATGCAAATCTTGACCATCCACTTCTCCTACATCCAAATTATACTACTGTTGGATCCGAATTATTTTGGCAGGAAGGCAATCTAAAATATGTCGACATGATTTTTGGGATGGATCCAAGGTATTTTTGCGGGAAAATCCAACCGAGCCGCGCAATTGAGAGAACACCAATTACATGGTACCCTTTGTGATTACGGTACACAAATGAATATGTGCATTTGATTTGATGGTGTCATCTCTAAGGATGATAACGAATGAGTTAGCTTCGCATTCAAGGAGAGGCCAGGTAGGGCGGAAAAGAGAGGGGCACATGCGATCTCAAATGTCATGTTCATTCATTTGGGTGTGCATACAAAAGAGGTTATGGGGATCACATGTGTTTGAAATTTTAATTTTTTTCTTTTTCTTTTTGGAAAATATGCAAGGCTACATGCACCGCAAACACATGTGACTGAATCATGCATCAGTGGTGGCGTAAGTGTACATACCCGCATGATACAATATGATAATTTTGTACCCTTATGGTACATAATTCAATGTTGACAATTTACGTGAGCTCGCCGGAGATGGACGGGCCGGTCGAGACTCAGAGCAGAGGTTGACGACAAGAGAAAGAAGAAGAAGGAAGTGGAGGGGAGGGGCTTGTTGGATAAGTGAGCAATTGTATTCTCAGGAGGGCCAAAGGCCAATACATATACAGGTGTGTGGTAAAGTGCAAGAGACCCCTTATACAATGGGGATAAACCGAAAAGGGCTATACACATCTAACAACCCCCCCTCAAACTCATGGTGGGCCGACAACACTGAGTTTGGAGAGAAGAAAACTATGCTGTGCTCGAGTCTGTGCCTTCGTGAACAAGTCTGCCAACTGTAACTCAGAGGGCACATAGTGAAGAGCGAGAGTCTGATCCTGCACAGCAGCATGCACAAAGTGGGCATCCACACCAATGTGCTTGGTGAGCTCATGCTTCACCGGGTCACGTGCAATGCTGATAGCACTAGTACTGTCTGACAATAAAGGAGTCGATGTAGTAGCAGACACACCAAAATCCTCAAGTAGCCAGCGTAACCAGATCACCTCAGCCGTCAGCATAGCCATGGCTCGCAACTCAGCCTCTGTATTCAAGCGAGAAACTGCAGTCTGTTTCTTTGTCTTCCAGGCAATAAGAGAGCCACCAAGAAAGACACAATAAGCAGACAGTGAGCGTCGATCAGAAGGATCACTAGCCCAGGTAGCATCAGAATAGGCCTGGAGCTCAAGAGAGCTGGAGCGGGGAAAGAAAAGGCACTGAGAGATCGTGCCACGAAGATATCGTAGAACATGGAGTAGCTGACTATAGTGGACAGAGGTGGGGGTTGAAACGAATTGACTCAGAATGTGGACAGGATAGGAGATGTCAGGATGCATGACAGCAAGATAGACAAGACTGCCAACAAGGTGACGATAGCGAGTGGGATTAGGAAGAGGGTCACCATCAGAGGCACGAAGCTGAATGTTGAGCTCCATGGGAGTGACAACAGTGCGCTCATCACCGAGAGCACCGCGAGCAAGAAGATCCTGAATATATTTTTCTTGGGAGATGTAGAAGCCATCAGAGGTCGAGGAGATCTCAATCCCAAGAAAATAGCGAAGTGGACCAAGATCAATCATGAGAAACTGGTCGCGAAGACGAGCCTTAACAAAGGCAATGTAATCAGAGTCGTCACCAGTGATGATCATGTCATCAACATAGAGAAGGAGAAGAGTTCGACCACAAGGAGACGTGTGAACAAACAACGCTGGATCATGATTACTGGGAAAGAAACTAGCGGCAGTCACCACAGAGGCAAAACGCTCAAACCAGGCGCGAGAGGCCTGTTTGAGACCATATAGGGAGCGGCGGAGTCTACAGACCATACCATCAGGAGCATAGTACCCCGGTGGTGGCTGCATATAAACCTCCTCACGCAACTCACCATTGAGAAAAGCGTTCTGAACATCAAGTTGAGAGATGGACCACTGACGAACAGAAGCCACAACAAGAAGAGTGCGGACAGTGGTCATGTGGGCCACATGAGCGAATGTCTCATCATAATCGCGCCCCTGCTCCTGTTGAAAACCACAGGGCCACAAGACAAGCTTTGTAGCACTCAAGAGAATCGTCGGAGTGAGTCTTAATCTTGTAGACCCACTTGCAGGTGATGGGACGGACACCGGAAGGAAGGGGAACCAAATCCCATGTGCCAGAGCGCTCAAGAGCAACAAGCTCTTCGGCCATCGCAAGTTGCCATTCAGGATGAGGCATGGCAGTCCGATAGGAAGTGGCCTCAGCAAGAACAGAGAGACCGTACCGATCAGGGGAGTAGCGATCAGGTGGAGGGCGAGGCTGAGCACGAAGATTGTGAACCGGGGGAGGCGTGAGAGGTGCAGCAGAGGTGGAAGGCTCGTCAGAGGAGACATCCTCAGTACGAGATCGACGAGTATAGTGGAGAGGAAACGGGGAGAGAGGATGACGGACTGGAGATGATGGTGGAGAGGTGGAGGAGGAGGATGGAGAAGACAGGGTCGGTGGTGAATGAGAAGGAATGAGAGGTGTCGGAGGAAGAGGTGACACAAGAGGCACGTAGCAGGGTGTATCGGGAAGGAGAAGGAAAGAAAGGTCATCGACAGAGAAACTCGAGGAAGAAGAACGTGGGTAGTAAGAACGAGACTCGTCAAAGGTCACATCACGCGAGATGTGCAAGCGACGACCAACAGGATCCCAACATCGATAGCCCTTGTGCTCATCGCTGTAGCCAAGGAAGACACACTCAACCGACTGAGCAGTCAGTTTGGTGCGTTCTCGGGGGGCAAGAAGAACATAGCACACACATCCAAACATATGAAGAGCTGAGTAGTCAGGAGAGCGACCAGTGAGACACTCCATAGGAATACCACCCTAAAGAGCAGTCGATGGTTGAATGTTGATGAGATAGGTGGATGCGGAAACAGCCTCAGCCCAAAAATGGGGTGGAAGGGAAGCAGCAATCATTAGCGCACGAGCCGCCTCAAGCAAATGACGATGCTTGCGTTTGGCAACGCCATTCTGAGCATGAGCCCCAGGACATGAGAACTGGGCAAGAGTACCCTGTTCCGCTAGAAAACCACGCAACAGCTGAGAGATATACTCCCCAGTGGAGTCAGCACGAAAAGTACGAATGGACGTGGCAAACTGAGTGTGAACCATGGCAGCAAAACGTTTGTATATAGAGAGAACCTCGCTACGAGATTTCATGAAGTAGATCCAAGTGTAGCGAGAGAAATCATCAATAAACAAAATATAGTAGCGATGACCACCTTTCGAATCAAAGGGAGCAGGACCCCAGACATCAGAATGAACTAAGTCAAACGGATGCTGAGATACTGACTCACTAGTAGGATAAGGTAACTGAGTCTGTTTTCCAAGTCTGCAACCATTACAATGTAAGGAGACATCTCCAGATACAGACCCTAAGAGGCCCTGACGAACTAAAGAAGACAAGCGAGAGCCACAGATGTGACCAAGGCGATGATGCCACTGCTGGAAGGACGCAGACGAAGAGGCAGTAAGAGCATGGGAGCTGGCAGAAGTGGTGGCAGCGGAAGGAACACAAAGCCAGTCAGCCTCCCAAAGGTCCTCTGACTCACGGCGCCGAGGGCCAGCTCCAACCAAGACCTTGGTGTGACGATCCTGAATGGAGCAAGAGTCGGTATCAAGAATGACACGACAACCAGAATTAGTAAGTTGGGCAGCGAAAAAAAGATTCATGGTAAGACGAGGAACATGTGAAACACTTGGAACAGAAAAGGACGGAGTGGAAAGAATACCATGACTAGCAACAGGAAGAGATGTGCCATCGGCAGTAAGAACATTAATAGGCGAATCAAGAGGTCGAAGAGAGGACAATACAGAAGAATCAGAAGACATATGGAAGGAGGCTCCAGAATCCAAAACCCACGAAGATGTACCTGACTGTGTAGATGCCTGTGGTGGTGGAGAAGTGGCTGCAGTCACAGCAGCAGCTGAACCAATCGACGAAGAGCCTGAGGAGGCCAAGAGACGTTTGAGCCTCACAATGTCCTAGTCAGTGAGTGACGGAGTCGAGGAAGATCCGGGAGTCCCACTGGAAGAGGAGCGCCGCTGGTCTCGCTTCTTCTCACGGCAATCAGACTCTGGGTGACCTGGCCGAGAGCAGTAGCCACAAAAGGTGTCATGGCGCGACCGGCCCCTCTCAGTGTAAGCAGGTCGACCCACCCCCCTGAAGGTGTGGGGAGGAGCGGGGGAGCGGTGAGCCGAGCAGACGATACAGGAGCACGAGCAGCAAACACAGACGGGACCACCAGCAATCCAGTAGAGCGAAGGCGGGTCTCCTCAGCCCGAAGCTCGGCAAGAACCTCCGAGATAGGAACACGACCATGAGAAAGCAAGTGAGCACGTCTGGGCTCAAAATCAGAGCGGAGACGAGCTAAGAACTCGTGAACCCTCTGAAACTCCAAATCAGACCGTGTAGTCTGACAGCAATGGCAAGTTCCACAAACAACTGTCCTCAGTGAGTCAAGCTGACGCCAG